TCTCAAAAAGACATCATATGGAGTCACAAGACAGCTTGGCAGCTACAAACCCGCTAAACGTTTCTATTTTGGGCAAACTTGCCTTCACCAAACTGTTTAAATTACGTACGTTTGTTTTTCAAAAAATTACAAATACATTAGACAATGGAAACATTAACGAATTTGAAATTTGTAGTACGGCCTGTTAAATACTTTTCCCACTCTGTGTATTGTTTTACATTTAGTTACATTCGAAAAAACGCGTTAAATTCTGCTGCCAAAACAACTAGCTTCCAACGCTTAGTTGCTAAAGCGTATCGAATAAACACACGCAACTTTTGAACTCATTATAATGAGTTTACGATTATATGCGTTGATGGGCGCTAGAATTATTCAAAATTTGGACGCCACCGCTTCGAATTAGTCTCATACTTTCGCCTTGCTCTTCCAATTCATCTAGCAATATTCGCTCCCAGCCCTCAACACACGCGCACATATATAGCATACATACATCAGTATACACCAACATATACATACTATACATATATCATACACATATACATACACACATTCACACACACACATATTATATATATAATATATTATATATATATAATATATATTATATATATATTATATATATGTTATATAAATATTAATACATATACATATACACATATATTACAATACATAATGGCATAACGATCGCCATTGGTGGCAATCAACCTGGTCCGATGGACATCTCGGGTCATCCCGACATCACTGACGTGGAATTTCAAAGGGACATGGAGAATTAATTTTTATCTAATTCAGATGCTGACAGGGCACGGATGTGTTACCGACTAGTATCAGCTCCGATTCCGGTTGGACTGATCAGCTTCCTCATGCCCAGGTGTTTCCTGTGTGATTGAAGATGTAGAACACGTGTTATTTCATTGTCCACGCTTCGCCAGTGAAAGGGAAGAACTTCAATCAGACTCCTGCAAGAGGACAGTGACCCTGAGACCATCGTCACTCTAAGGATGCTGCTGAGTACAAGAGTATTGGAGTGCGGCGTAACCACCTATGCGCAAAGTCCTGAAACGCTCCGCCTCCGAGGAGCAGGTTACGAAGAAGACTCCCGTAAATATTTCCGTGAAGAGCGTCAACTAAGCCATCAGCTTCCTTCTCGCGATGCAACGCCTGACGGCGGTTCCGCGGGAAGGAATAGGAGGAAAGGGAGGGATTTTTAGTGAGTAGGCATAGGCTAGCTATGAATCCCACAGGCTGCGGGTTGCGGGCCCCGCTGTGTCTAGATTTTCCCCTGCCCAAGTAAATAAATAATAATAATAATAATAATAATAATAATAATAATAATAATAATAATAATTATATATATATAAACACACCACATTGTTTTTTTTCAATTGTGTTTATGTTGTATTCAACCTCCATTATTTTACGGAAAGCATCGTTTCGAACATGTTCCATCCTGGAAATGCCACAACTTCTCCAAAAATCCATTTCAAGAGCTAACAGTCTTTGTCTCTAAATTAGTCCCCATGTTTCAGAGCCGTGTGTACATAAAATCTCAACGATACATTTTTATAGTTTCTTACATAAATAATTATGACTGCGATTTAGCTGCTTGCTAATCAGAGAGCAATGAGCGACACTGCCTCAAACGAAGAGCGGAAATTAAGAATTTTCCAATTTTCAAAACTTCAGCGAACTCCGAAAATTGGTCCAGCACTACTTTCATTACCGTTCTTTGTTGCATATGTGGAAGAAAAGTAGTACCGATTCTGAAAAAATAATTGTTTAAAATTTAAAAATTGCGTTTCATATAAAATTACACAAAAAACATATTTGCGAAAAATTGAACATGACTTTATGAGATCTGTTTTTGACAATGACATTTCATTAAGAAGGCGCCGATTACTTTTTTTAAATACTTGCAACTTTCGAAACATTAAGGATTTCAACGAAAATGAGACCCGCGCCATTCTCTAAAGCGTCCTTTAAGCTATTCGGCAACACAATGTAATAAAAAAATTGGTATCTTTTTCAAAACTTTCATTTTGAAAATGTCCCTGGAGTTCACGTAAAGTACCTCCCAAAATTAACACAGATTTCAAATTCAAGCTTTGGGCGCTAGCTTTGACTACAGACAGACGACATGCGTTTTGCCGTCAATCGATTTGTCGGCACCAAGGACCCACAAACATTGATTCTGACTACACAACGTGCAACGTGTTAGAGGAATTTACCTTATTATGTAGGAACAAGTTTTACCCACTCCGACAGCAGAAACCGGCAATAGTTTTTCTGGCGAATATTCGCTGGTTTTTTTCCGTAAGCAGTAGCGAGAAAGTACAAATTATGTTTTTCAAGAAGTCGGACAAATTTTTTTGAAAACCCAAGTTTTCACGTAAATTCTGCACCAAGTTCATTCAATTTTGTAAAAAGATTCTCAAAAAGGTCTTCAATTTTTTCCACAAATCAATAGACTTAAAAAATGGTAAAGGTATCTTTTTCATTGAACACTGTATTTTCAAAACCTGTATTGGTTTCAAATAATGCGAGGAAGGTTGTGCTGTTGAGCAACACTACAGATCTGTCCCAAAGTACCGAAATTTTTTTTTAGCAGCAAAGCTTTCAAAATCGTTATATAAAAGCCATTAATTTTATATTCTGGCTATTTAAATAAATAAAATGTTCCTTAAAAAGTTAATTATAATTATACTGACAATATGTTTCATTATAACATTTATTATTTTTGTTCTGTAGAATCTAAAAAAGTATTCACCCCTCCCCCAAAAAATGTTCTTGCTCCAGTTGATCAAACACTATTTTCTCAATGTCACAGATAATTGCTATACTTGATGATGTTCTCAAGCACAAACCCTAAATTTTTCTCTTCAAACTGATTTTCAAACACACATCTGATCCCCTCTTGTTCTTTCACATTGCCACAAATTAATGCATGATGCTCCAAACTTCACTGAAGTGTTCTTAAGAATTTATTGATGTGTTTTATCAACACTACCTTTTTATTTATTGCTTTTCTACTTTCCACCTCATTCTCACTGTTGAATGTTCAAATTGCATGCTACAACATACATTATGGAAAAAAATGTAAAAGTTCCCAGAAGCTGCACATCAGGCAACCAGTCAAGTTAAGCAGTAGACTTGAGTAACTCGAACACATTTCTATATGTAATTAAAACTTATACCAATAATACAATAAACAATATAAATTGCAAAAAATACCAATGATTCCAGATTCATATGTCAAATATTAATTAAAACTAAGATAAAAAGAAACTTAGTGAACATTTTAAAATAAGAACGAAAACACAGGTAAGTACAAATACTTGCATCAAACCACATTAGAAATGTATCTGTTCATGTAAACTATTAGGCTTCAGCTGATATTGCTCATCTAAAAATTGTATTTTGTGAAACAGTACTTACTCTGTTAACGGTACTAAAAAGGAAATTTTAACTGGTGAAGTCTATCACTGTGTTTTGTGACGATGTTGAAAAAATCACCTTAAACATCTGAAAGGTTTCTGTTTCACCTGAAGTCCCAAATACGTTTAATTCACATTCAAACATCACCGCACTTTGAACTCCTTCATGAACCATCATTTGGCCACCACTCGCACAAACAGCAACGTATGACTGACAGTGGAATTTAAAACAATGCACTCTGTCTCTCACTAGCCTTAGTAACTTTCCAACAGAAGCCATTTCCCATTTATCACATAATATAAAAGATTCCTAGTTTCTCTAATATACTTCACTCATTCTAGCCACATACTGTTGGCTAATGTGAACTTCATCTTCCTAATGTTCAAAGTATGCTTTAAAAATGTACCTATCCACCTATTTTGAACAACATGGACTCACTCCAGCCAATTCACAAATTAGCCATGTTCTAAGTTTAGCCGTACTATACAAAAGAGCATCAAGACCTGCGAGTGCTTTGTTCGCAACTGAAATTGAGGGTTTCAACTGGACTACTGTACAGCAGCAGCTTAATTTTGATTTAAAATACTTTTTGGGCCTCTTCCCTGCATATGGCAAATGTCAATCCCTCGTCACTTTTAATGATTTTCAATTCCAAATGTGATGCCTACTCATATTTAGAGTACCCACCTCTAGCTACTTTAGCAATATTAGGACTTTCCCCAATTCCATAATCATTGGATTCTCTTGTCAATCTTTGAGAATGTCATTTGTCAGACACACTCAGTTAACATGTCCCTTTAGGTACACGGTAAACATGATTATTAGATTTATATTGTTAATGTAATTTATGTTGTCAGTATACACAATCCTTTCTCAAAAGATTTGTGCACAATAAACTATAGCTTATCATAGCATTGTAGGCTTTCACAGCCAGTCAATATAAGAGAAATTTTCCAGGCCAGTAGGCTGTGGTCTAGTTGGATTTGAAGGGTAAAACGCAGTCAGAGGCGAACCGTTTGTCCCATCAATGCCAACTAGACCACGACCTACCAGCCCAGAAAATTTCTCTTATAAATGTTATCAGATTTTTACCTTGGACACTCTCAAATCTATTGTACAAAATAGGATGTAAAAATATTCACTTTTTTGCATAAAATGTGGAAAATACATGGATGATGTTAAAAAAAAAATTACTTCCATGCATTGACTATATAACATCATTATTACAAGGGAGGTAAGTAAAATAGGGTTTTGTCATAAATAAAACATTTGAAAACACAATCCTATACACAACCCAACCCTAAACACACCCTATACTTGAAAAGGGTTAACTCCACAACAAACCCTTATGAGAACTTTTTTAAAGAAAATTCATCTAGTTTCATTTTGTATAGAACATAATTTTTCTGTAAGATTGATAATTGTGGAATTTTATGCCAAACGCACATACCATACCAGCACATAGAAAAAACATCTTTAAATGGCTCTTGTGCAGTAGAAACCACTGAAGAAACCTGCCAAATTTCAAAACGGGGATTTTTTTCACTCAATCACCATTTTTTGCTCTTAATTAGACTGGGCTATAAATCATCCATTTATTTTAAGGAATACAAGGTCACTACTTCAAAAGTTATCCATCAATAATTTTCATGCAAATTCGAGTTATTTATTGCAGAAATGTTCATAAATTGAACACTTAACTATAAATATTCCTCTTGTTAAGAAACTTCAAAAATTGTTTATCGAACAATATTTATTTTTACAATAAATGTACTGTAAATTCACATCAATTCTTCAATATGTAAACAAGACAACAAAGTGAATACTGCTGACTCACAGTCATCATTCAGTAATAAATATAATTTCTGAAGATACTTACTAAAATGTTATCTTTCTAAGAAGGGATAGGAAATTTTGTTTTCATAGAAAAGAAAAAGAGCTAAAGTCCTTAAAACATAATAATGTATTTCACTTAACAATCTTTCACTCGCCAGTTAATCATAAAAGCCTATGCTCAATTTTTTTCCCTTTCAGATTGGTCATTTTGTCACAAACTGAATGTAAATAATTGTAATGACTATAATATATTTGAATTTTTTAGGTGTGACAGACAATTTTTTAGGTGTGACAGACAATTTTTTAGGTGTCCACACACCATAATCATTGAAGACCGGAACTTTAGGCACTATAGAGCTCTAAAATAGACAGACACAAAGGCACTTCACACAGCTAAAATAGGCAAAAAAATGCAAAATAAAATCCATTATTTTTAATAATAAATTCACAATTACAGTTTAACACAACGGTACAGAATATGGATTTCACAACAGTTTTAATAAAAGTTAGATAAACTTTGATGAAAAGATCATTTATGGCAAAATACCTTGAATTTCCAAATGTTTTTGAATACCTAAAGCAACTATATATTTTTTTTTTAATTTTCAGTGAATAATTCGTACCTTCTGTCAAATAACCTTCAATTGAGAGATCTATCAACATCGTCATAGGTTACTGGAGCAAACATAGCAGAACAAAAGGATCCATTTATGCAGTAACTGAAATGTCGTCCTCTTGAATTTCCAAAATATCTTAAGTTTTTGTAAATCAAGAAATCAGGAAAACACTCTCTTACATCTTTCAGTCACCAATAACCTTTTTTCCTTGGCACTTCATTGTAGCTGAGGTATAGCATCATCCACAACTTCCATGTCACTAGAGGCTGCTCCCTTTCGTCAAGCGAAGTGATGACATCTGGCAAAAAACGGAAATGCCCCATAATAAAAATGAAGTCATTTTTTATCCAAAGAATCAACAAGTCTCTTTGCTTCTATGGCTGTTGATGCTTCATCTTCAAGTGTGTTGCATTCCCGTAAAATTGGCAGCTGCAATCCATGTACCCGATTTCAGGTTGAGAAAACAAGGGGCAAACCTTTGCAATCAATTCATCCACCTCGGGAAACAATCGTCTCGCTTCTTGACATTCTCACATGCATGAGCCATACAAGTCACAAGAAGCAAAGACTGGTCAAATCATTTGCTGATTTTTTTCTTATTGGTGCTGCTTCAGTTAAAAAAGTGCCATAATAACATGTTGAATTTTATGGTCCCATATTAACATCAGTTATTTGTGAAGAGTACAATAATTGAGCAACTGATTTTTTCTAAACATGGTGAGCAAAAACAACTTCATTGAATAGCTTTCTAAAGAAGTCCAAAGACCCAAGGATGCCATTAGCTAAAAAGCAGTGGCATAAGTTGACTCAATGGAAATTTAGATCTCCATATTTTTAGTTGCTTCTTGAATTTTTCTCATCACTGCTTCAAAATACCAACAGAAGTAACATTTGGGCAAAATTGATTCACTTGGAACGGTTTCTTCGATGCATTTAAAAAAAAAGGGAGGGGGGGGTTATTCTAATTTCTCTCCACCAAAACATTGGCTTTGAAAAGATAACAGAAAATCGAAATAGCTAGTTAGATTTTGACAGTGCTGAAAAGTAGAATAAGCAACTGATAGTAAAATTTTTTTCACTTTATTCCTCATCATGGTCTATGTTATGTGAAGAGCATTTTACCAGGAAAAAACTAATGAAATATTCGTATTGATTTAAATGAGAGAAAATATCTCTCTCCTCTACAGTTTACTTTTAAAATAAACTATTTAATTTTGAAATGGCCAAAGATAAAAAAAATGAATTTAGACAAAAAATTGGCATACATTTGTTAAAAAAGGCATTTATTGGAAGAAAAAAAGGAGAGAGAAAGAAAGAGAAAGGAAAAAAAGAGACACACTTTGAAATTCTAGCTAACTTTTATGATTAAAAAAGTCATTTTGCCTAAGTTCCGGTCTCTACTTATCATACAGCACAATAAAATGTGTTAAAAGATTTTTGAAGCCAGCATAGACAATTGTGCACCATCTACAAAATATCTGACATTTGCAGTGAACAGTAGGCATTCAGAATGATGAACCAAAATATGTTATCAAATTTCTTAGTGAAGAAGTAATCTCTATCATACGAACGATTCCTTTATTTCATTTGGTATTCAGGTGAAGTTTCGAGAACCATTATGTGAAATAAAGCACATGCACCTTTTCCATCTATGCCAAAACAATCAGAGCCTACATAAACAAAATTCTTTAAACCAGCTTATTAAACATGCCTAGATAAACAACAATTCATAGTGGATTCTTCTACAGAAGGAAGTCTCAGTCAAGGTTCATTGAATCAATAATTTCAGTAAAAGAAAATGAGAACAAGGTTGCACTTCGAAGGATGCTAATTAAATATTTATACTTACTAATTTTAAAAGATAATTTATGAGGGACTTAAGTTCCATATTCAAATATTTATGTAAGTACTTGAGATTTTGAAAGTCACACAACCATAGAGGTGAGTGTTGAAAGTGTCAACTGACTAGTAGGAAACAATGAGGAAGCACATTTGTATTGCTTTTCATAGGTAAGGTTCTGAATGTGGGATTCCAATTTTTTCCATGAAAAATAAAAGCATCAATTTCATTCTTATTTCACCTCCATTAATGTACACAAAATTCATTTCAGTTTTCTCAATACATTACAATGTAATATCACCTGTGACAAGTAACAAAATATTTCACAAACCTCTTGTAATATTTTAGCCCCTGTTAGTCATCCAAACTCAAATCATCAATATCTTCTTCAAGATCGTCCAACTCATCATCCAAAAATAAATTTTCATTAATAGGAACAGCTGATGCAGTTTCATCACCATTTACTAAAAAAAAAAAAAAAGAATATAAGGATAAAAGAGATATTTTGCTGTTTTAAGCTTCATATGCCTGAAAGGAGAAGAGTGGGGAAAGGAAAAGGGAGAACAGGAAAGAGGGAAAAACAGAGGATGGACTGGATTGGGAGGAGGGAAAGGTGAAGAAAGGGAAGCAGGATGAACAAAAAGAAGGTGAGGGGAAGAGCAGGGAAATGTAATAATCATGGGGAGTGGAGGAGAGGAGAGTAAAAGACCAAGAAGAGAAAGAAAAAAGTGGTGGAAGGATATAGAGAGGGGAAAGAGTGGAGCAAGGCAAATAGAAAAGATGAAGGTGAGGTGAAGAGAAAGTAGGAAAAAGAGAGGACGGAGATAAGTAGATGAAATGAGTGGATAGGGAGGGAGAAGCAATAAGGGAACCATGAGCAAGGGTTTTTCTTAGCTCCTTATTTTTAATTCAACACAGGTTGGGTTTTGCTATGACATTGTTCAATTGTTCATTTATGTCTGAATAAATAACTTATGTGCGGATCTGGTGGCCGAGATCGCTAAGGCAGTAGTGCCGTAGCGATCTCGTATCGAAAGATCGCGGGTTCGAGTCCCGTCTAGGGCATGGTTGTATTGTGTTCGTTCTATCTCCATCTCCTCCATCTCTCATAGCACCTTTCTGAATAACATTCAGAATGTACACTCGAGGATTATCTCACCTGAAGTGATACCTTCGACAGTCGATCCCATGAACAGTAAAAGTGAAGTGGAAGCGACTCAAGTGGTCCAATTGTGGCCAATCTCAACGTTAATAATAATAATAATAATAATAATAATAATAATAATAATAATAATAATAATAATAATAATAATAATAAATGACTTATGTGAATCCTTTGAAGTACAGTAAAATCTGTCTAAACTGGAACCTGTACCAACTGGATACCTGCCATAATCAGAAAATTTCTTCGGCCCATGAAGTTACATGGCACTTTATGCTACATAAAACAAAACCTGTCCAATGTTGTAACAGAATGGTTTTTCATGTTTTACAGGAGGAAAAAACCTTTATGAAACAGAATTTCAGTGAATTTAAAGCAATTGACCAAGAGACACATTCATTTCATTGAGAATATATTGCATCTGCAAGTCTGTTTTAAATTCTCCATCCCTGTGACAGGCAATTTAGTCATGGCAGTCGCACAATGCAGGAGTGGGACTTTAGCTGACAGTGAAAAATTCGCCCTTGGGGTCACAAGTCTCAAGGCATATTCTGTAGAATTCCCCTTCTACTGATTCTCCTGAGCGTGGGTAGGTGTATGGGTATGGCATCTACTCACACATCCCTGGCCCACATTAAAAATTGTGGCTCACCAATTGCGGAACACCTCGGGCAGATATGAATTTCTCAATGTCATGTGACGTTATCACAAATCATAATACTCTGGGCTGTGGCAATGCGCATTAAAGGAGTCAGTAAGTAGATCGGCAGCGGAAAATAGGCCTGTGATGTCAAGGTTGATGTTATCAACATTGGTACGGGTAGCACAACAAAATCACCCCTCCAAGCAGTTGATAACCTCACACCAAGAGAGTAGTAGGTAATCCATGTCACTCTGAATGCTTTTAAGCTTTACACACAAAATATGATTGTGTGGGATTTAGATAAATTTAAGAGTTTGTTATTTTTTATTTATATTTTTACATTTAAGCATATCGCATTTTTTAACATGCGACTTCACAAAGTTGGAAAATGGTGGGGGTTACAACTGATAGTTTCCTTTGCCGAAGCTAGTTGCTCTGAGAAGCACGTGGCATGCCCCGATGCCACTTGTAGGAGACCTTGAGAGCTCTAGGGAGTGAGGTACTGTGTATTTTTACATGTTTCACAACCAGTTTAACAAAGTATTTTAATAATCATAATAAAACCATGTAATTTTTACTTTACTTCAATTACTACTTTATGTCCTTTAATTTACTAGTTTCAAAACAAATATAAATACCACATGTGTCATAAAATGGACTATCCTGCATAAAACAAGAAACCTCAGTGAACCAGAATTTTTTTGTCCAGATCGATTTCAGCTTAGACAGATTTTACTATAATAACTAGTCTGTTTAATTTTCTACATATCTTTACAATAACTAAATTCTCCTTTTCACAAGTGAAAGATCACAATCACAGTGAAGAAAATTTTTGGTATGCCACACATTTCCTACTTTTTAAGTGGAAGAAAGCAGTTTGAGGAAAGGATGCAATAAAAGAAAGTACTACCTTGGTTACTGTCATTGTTGACGGCAGAACTTTTAAGCCTATCTTCAGTAGCCTGGGTTCCTGAACCATCCACTTCTTGAGCCTCCATCTCCAAAATATCCAGTTGAATTTCCCGGTACTGAAATATGGGAATTTATAAAATCCAGAAACAAAATTATTTTATAAATATGGACAATTGTTTCCAAAAAAAGGAAGTACCCTGATATTTTCCTCGGACTCTTCATCTTCCTCTTGAAAGTTGTATGAATCAAAGGCCTCATCTCCATCTTCATATTGATCAGCAGCTGCCAAGTCAGGATTGAAGAAAAACATCTCCCTCCCTGAAATCTGAAAGCAAGATTTAATTATGCAAAAACTTTTATTGGTATTCAACATCAACAGCAAAGTATAATAAAAATGTAGACTGAAAAGAGAGAGAGGTACCCTATGACAACTTGATGTTCTTAAATCATGGAGTTAATAAAAAAAAAAAAATTGTACCCACAAATAATGTGTAGAATTATGACAAAGAGAATAAAAATCAGAAGAAAGAAAGAGGGCAAAGAAAAATGAAATAGAAAGGACTAACTTTCTTTCTCACAATACAAATTACGAACCCCTATTTGTTTCCCAGCTTTGTAATCGTTTCGTTTCTTTTCTTCTTCCCTCAAAGCGGCTTCTTTCTTTTCTTTCAATTTCCTCTTCTTCCAAGCAATGAAAGTTTCTAGAGTTATTTTTGTGAGGGTTGAACCTAAAGCAGCACGTTCCCTCTCAATGAGATCTTCAAGAGAAATTTCTTCTCTCTTCTCATCTTTCTTCTTGTCTTTCTTTAAAACAAACCCTGGTGGTAAGGCATGTCGATATATACAATTAGCACCATTTGGACAGCTCCAGAACCACCCGTATTTGCTCTTTTCAACAGCATCCAGAAAATATTTGCAGATCTATAAATTATAAACATGTATTAACTTCTCTGAACATGTACACCTTTCATACAATTCAATAACATTTCAATTAAATACAAATAAAAACACTGCACTGTAAATTAACTACTCATATGAGTTAATATAGGATTCTTCATCTGCAATATATTACATCTTGCAAGCAGACACTTACTTCTCATGAATACGTTAACTTGACAGGCACACAACTTGAGTGTCGGTGAAAGAGTACACAGGAGTGATTACACATGGGTGAGTAAACATGAGTGATTACGCATGAGTGAGTATGCAAGAGTGAATATGTACAAGGGAGTTCATATGAGTGAGTACATATGTGTGAGTACGTTAGAGTGAATATATATGAGAATATGTATCTGCGAGTACAGATGAGTATGTATGAGTTCATAAGAGTGAGTATGTGTACATACATTCAAGGTACATATGAGTGAGTGTATGAGGTATGTATGAATCTAAGAGTCAGAATGGTGAATCTACGAGTCAGTACGGTGAATCTACGAGTCAGTACGGTGAATCTACGAGTCAGTACGGTGAATCTACGAGTCAGTATGGCGAATCTATGAGTCAGCATGGTGAATCTATGAGTCAGTATGGTGAGTGTGTATGAGTATGAGTGAGTGAGAATGTATGTGTTGTCTTTTGTGGTTACTAAACTGAGGGAGTTTTTAGCTGAATGCCTAAAAAGATATTTTTAGTGGTCTTAAAAAAACATGTAATATTCTTTACACTTTGTGTGCTAACTAAAAATCTAACAGCTGGTTGCAAGAAGAGTGTCCTACCACATTCTTTTCTGTTGTTAACAAATGCATCTTTAAAACTATTTGGCCCTTTGAAGAATAGGTTGTTGCAAGAGTGATAGTTAACAATCTATTTACTATTCTATCTTTAAAAGGAAGTATGTGAAATGGGACTATAGTTTTGAAGTTTCATAGAAGTTCTTTGGCAAAGGTCACAGCCTCCTACGCCTTCCACAAGATTGTCTTTGACTACAACTTCTTCAAACACTCTAGTCCCTGTTGGATCATTTGTCCTCTGTCCTGTGTGTGTTAGTACTAGGTACTTGTGTTGCAGTCCACAAAGGACAAAAGTAAAAGAAATAGAGGGAGAATTTTTTCAGAAAGAGAAAAAAATATTCTTTAGGACATTATCAGCAAGTATTAGTGAACCAAAATAAGTGGCAAATTTTAAATATTTGGCCAACACAAAGAGAATATAATAGCAGTAGCATAGGCAGAATTTAGCACAGTGTAGACAAATGGTTAATAGTCTACAGGCCTGACTTCAATTTATAATATAAAAGGTACTTTAACAAATTGTTAAACTTAAAGAATATTCTCGCAATGCTTTCTACTGTTAAGACAACACCCTGACTAATAGCATCCAATGAATCTTTAAACTGGTTCATGCAACCCAAAGTTAATGATAATTGCTCTTTACAATGCAGTGATTCAAGACACAAAAAGTATTTTTCTTTGAAAACCAACGATTATCAACCTATCTTTCATATGTTATGTGAAAGCAAAATGTATAGTTTGTTTAAATAATTTTAGTAGCAGGCAATTATTACAAAAGTTGTAAATTATGTTTGCCATGACAAAAGATGACAAAATCTTTTTTCTTACAACAAGAATCTAGTTTGTCATTAGAAATTGAAAATTATTTCCTCATGTGTTCTTCTCAAAAACAACCTTCTCTAAATTGAATAACTGCCTGAAAATCATATCATATTATTGCCCGAGAATAAATATCCATACACTCTACACAAATTGTAAAGCATGAGACTATATTAACTAAAACACTAACTGATATCCTTTGAATAACTGATTTCCTTATATCATTGTCTTTTTCATTCTCTTGGCTTATGTAAAAGCATTAAAACAGGAAAATAATCCAACACCAAGAAGTGACAATATTTGGAAAATTCAACCCAAGAAACATTTTACGTAAACAAAACATATCAAATAACTCTCAATGTATTAAGTTCCTGAAATAAATTTCCCCTAAATTAATTTGAATCAGTAATATCTGATACGTGTTCAAGAGATAGACAAATATGACTGGAAAATTTGCCAAAGGGTTCCATTGAGCATAATGTTACTTGTAAAATCTCTACCATTCTTGATTCTTAAAGCAATGGTCATAAGTAGTAATTAAGACAAACATTTTCTTCTATATATTATTTTCATATCAAACTCACAATATCTGTAGGTGGTCTCTTCTTGTCAGCTTCACCATGCTTTTTTTCAACTACTTCTTTCAATTTCTCTTCATCCCAATTTTCCATTGTTTCTTCATTTTCATCACGCATATCAACATACATGCTGCGTTTCTCTGATTTACGCTCCAAACTTAAATCATGAGAAAATTTGCATCTATCACCTTTAGTGCATTGTCCCTGTTTGAAGAATGCACATAAAACAGATTTGGGGTCCGTGCCTATGGAATACAAAGTCTAGTGTCACCAACATGTATTATTTAAGATACTATATAACAAAATGAATGACAAATTTTCAAAACAAACGAACAAAAATGGCAATACTACCGATCAAATACATTTCTCATTACGAAAGTTCTGTTTCACAAAAAAAAAAAAAAAAAAAAACTGAGAATATGCAAAAATGTGTCGCAGTTGATAATCCTGATATGATTAACAACTGCATACTAATGCCAATCCAGTACCCAGAAAACACAATTTTTTAATGGCAGACCCCAGAATAAAACGCAAAATACTGGAAGGAATAATTTATACATTTAAAAACTAATTCCACAAGTATTTAGCAATATATTACTTACGTTTTCTTCAAATTTGAGTTGATGTATTTCCAGTTTTAGATACATGGCAAGAGCATAAATATTTTGAACACTTTCTCTACTTACAGCCTTTTCTTAGAAGACATAGACGACATTTTTTAAAATACTAGATCAACATTTACTATGTTGCTCCACGAATATAACTGTTCTTTAAACTGATAGATATGAAAGTATGATTTTAATGTGTTGATTGGTAAAATCGGTGGTAAAAAAATGACGGTGTCCATGAAGCAATTATGCATCATGGGAATTGGGAATTATAGAATTACGGTCAGCCATTGACACATCCCTTTCATTTGTATGGGATTTGAGGTGGATGTAGCCCGATTGCGGTCCACTTCCTTTAAATAACACATGTTTATTGGATGGTAATTTGTATATAATTAAAAATATTCTATAATTAGAATTGAAGCTAGAAATGAAACACTGATTTATATAAAAAATTTCTGGTACAGAATCAGCAAAAAAATATAACCTATTTCATTTTTACAGAATTTAATCTAAAACATCCTGTACATTCAATATCTAATTAAGACCCGGAATCGTTATTCCCAGAAAAAATGTAATTTTCTCTACCATCTGTATGAAGTATAACAGACAATGTTAACAAAACCTTCATGAGAAATGCACAAAATTATAACTGACAATTTTTTTTCTTTTCTCGATGACAAACATCCTGAATTTTTTAAACCTGAACTGATAAAACATCACCACACTCCTTTCACACAAAACACTTATACGTAGGAATGGCCTCTTTCTTACTACACTTGCACTCAAAGCCATTGCATATCTTCTTCCTGTGGGCCAACCACAAGGGCACTTACACACAGATCACACAAACCCTATCACAACCAATCCATGGATTTGAAACCACAGCCAAACACTCCTTTGTGCCACACACACCAAACTACATTTAACTACATTTATTTTCATTCTCAGACCACACACACTATTGAAAACATAAATCACAATCTGAAAAGAATGTAACTGTTCAACAGAAACTTTGCTAACCATATTGACAGCTATGCAAATCACAATAAAATTGCAAAAAAATTTTCACCACTTAACTTTCACCTCAATGGACAGAATAGTAATGGTGCTCTGACAAATTTCTAAAATGTGAAAAAATGTAACATAAAAAGGAACCAATCACAACAAATTCAATTCTTTCAGTATGCTTTTGATCACCCATGCCTTGCTTATTGCAATTATGTATCATGATACGAGCATTGATCACTATCCCCACCCACCAAAAGATTTCCCATAATTACCCCTAGTTCCTCCCACCATAGATTTCCCTCTTGCCTGTGTGGTGCTAAGTGCCGATTTAAATGACTTCCTCAAGTCGTATTGTGTCCTCTACTTCTGCTTGGAGAAGGAAAGCCCATAGGCCTTAACCATTATTTATCCTCCCCTTCCTGTGACAGGGGGATACTGTGGCTCAAGACATAGTTAGGTTACTCAAACAGGAATATTGCTCAAAAGAAACAAGCTTAACAGAAAAAGACTTTCACAAGCCATCCCCAAATATGAAGATTATAAGGCTTGGCTATATGGCCAAAGTGAAATAATGCATGTTCATAAACTAGAAACACGCCAAACATACCTCCATGATAAACAAGCAAGAGGTAGATGTCTGAAGACTACTCACAAGATAATCCAGATGGTTAAAAAAACAACATTGCAACATATATCCCTTTGGTTCATAACAATTATTTTAGAATTTTATTATATAGAAAATAAATAATACTTATGAAAAATACTATTTTACCTTTTTCAACTTTTTGAGAAGCTACTGGTCGGAAAAGCAAATTCATTTCTTTCTGCTCCTTTAACTTCTTTTCTTTTTCTAATTTTTTCTCTACATCTCCTTTCTTTGTGCTTCCTGTATTCTTGACTTGATTTTGCACTTGCTGAATGAAACGTTGCTGCTTAGCCCCTTTTTTGTTCTTTAATCCGAATGTTTTATCCTAAAGAGAAAAAAAAGGTTTGTAATTTACATATGAAAATTTAAAATATATTTCCTTTGATAAAACACTATAATATAAATAACTGGGAAACATAGAAGCACTCTTCAGTTAACAGTTAAAATAACAATGTCACCAAAACCCTAAGTGTCTTTTTCAATTGTTAAGTTGATAACCATAGAGTAAGATATAGTTCATCCAGTTGTCACTTGATTTCACTTAAAATATTTCCAATGTATATGTATATTAATAAATAGCTCATATTTTCCTATTTGTTTCATTTACAGATGACGCTCATAAGTTTCAAGATCAGTTGCTGCTTTGTTAAGATACAGAACCATAACAATGGGTGCGTAAGCCACCTCTTGTCACATAAAATTACATGATAAAGATGAATTCTATTAAAATTGATTCACGGACATTTATTAAATAAATTTATAAGCTAATAAAATTGCTAAAGCATTACCATTATATTAGGAGAGCATTTAATGAGAAAGAAGGCAAAAATGGAAAACAAATTTTATTGATATCGCACCATATGACAAAAGATTCAGAAAGAATACTTCCAAGATTCCTACAGATTTCATTTCACCCAATAATTTATGAGACTTTAAGGAGATAAAAAGTTTTGATTTCATTGTTACAATTAGATCCACTTACAATACACAAATTTATAATATATCATATTAAAAATTAACATTAGTACACCTCCGTAACACATATGGCTACACAGCCCTATGTGATGTACGTACTTTAAATTTCAGCCACTTAACTAATGATCTCCTGGTCGTTGTAGCTGTTTTGATACTTCTTCAAAAATACATTATAAAAACCACCTACATTCACTCTGTAAAAAATACATTACCTCAATAACTTTTTCTTTTTTTTTCTCAATAGTCTTCTTGCTCGGTTGAGCAGGTTTGGCTTTTGGAGGCATTTTCTTTCAGCGAACTATCTATTCTATGTTCAAATTTTATTTCAAAAGAAGTGTTTGGTTCACCGCAAAGGTAAACAATAAACGCAGGTGTAAAACATTAACAGCAGCAAAAGACTTTTCAAATACATTAATAAAACATTAGCGCATGAAATATTTCTTCTTAAATGTGATGGCGATCAGATGAAGTGAAATAGGCGTATCGGAAACATGTAACTTGTGAAAAGTAAACGTGAATGGCAATAACCTTCCCACATCCCAATGTTACAACATGCTTCGCAAATCGCAAAAGCAAGTGTGGATACCAAAGATATGTCATATAACGGAAAGTTAACACATATGCAAAGCCCGTGTTCATTTCACATGGAACCGCTTGGGGCGCTAACGTTAATCTTGTGTAAAATCCTTGATTCAAGTATGGTAAATTTTTAACATTCCGTGAACGATTCCCCGAATGGTAGCAAGAAAATGGCGCACATTCAAATTTCAATGTTTTGAACGCTTTTCAACCTAATACAAATAAATTTCATAGTATTACAGAATGGCACAAACTTTCCCGTACTAGTTTCTGGGAGAACTTTTCGCTTTTGCCCCACCCTCTTCCCAGCCAGGGTCGTCGTGCACTGATTTGCCGCTCTGGTGCAAATTCATTGTGTCACTATCTAAAGGAATACTTTAATTACATACTTTTAATTGTAAAAAATGATTTTTGATATATGAATTATAATACTTCAATTGGTGATTATTTTGATTTGACACATTTCGTGATTGTATTTAGTTGATCTGCAAGTTCTATTGCTTTTATAACTTTTGCACTATCTGTATCAGTTTCATCGGTCAGTTTAAATTATAAATCCATCCAATTTTTTAATACGTCTGATTAACTAATTTCTTCTAGTTGGTTGAAGACATACACAAAATCGAACGCATCATTTTGCTCTTAAAGCAATTGAAACCTTTTCTCTATACATGAAACTGTAGTGTCAATAATAGTCGTGTATTCGGAAATGCGGTTCATACAGTATGCGGAAATTGTTTTTTGGATCATTTGCATTGCCATCGTTATGTTCGTAACCGAATATAGTTTTATTTTTTCGCCTGCATGTAGGTGGGGAAAGAGGATCTTAATCTACATTGCACAAATTAGCAAGCTCAGTTGCAGTGCTTAGCATTTCATAAAATTATTGCGATGTCTGATTGTTCCTTTTAAGAGGACAGGATCCTTAGATATATCGGACTTGGCGTACAAAATTGCATCAAAATTTGATATGAAATTGCAAGGTACTTTTCTAAAATTCATATATTCTAACAGTGCACCCAGCCCAACTCAGAAACAGCAAGATGTATCTAAAAGTGTGTAAAGACATTTCTGTGTCAAAATGTTGATGTTTTTGCCATCTTTAATGGCGTCACAAGCTAAGTCCGACCAGATTGGGTGTCGCTCTGCATTTTTAATTATGCACTGTGAAGTCACGGAGGTTAAGCCAAAGAGTATATTTGCGGGGTTAAGCGAATGGTTAATATATGAATTCTCGGCTATCCGGGAGACGCCGCGTCGTTGGCTGGGGTGTCGACGTTTCGCCTGACATGCCGCAGGCTTCCTCAGGGCAGTGACGAAGCCTGCGAGTTCCTCAGGGCTTTTCCCCACCCTCGTCCTCTGTCGTTCGGTGGCAAGTCACCTTGGTGAACAAGGCCCGGGTAGGAGTTCATGCGCGCCTAGACCTTTGGTCGACGGCGTCTCCTCGGCAGCGCGTGCGCCGCATCTGCCACCACCGGGCCACACCCGCCGCGGGCCACTTTGCACTGCAAAGTTTGCAGTCGCGCCGCAGCAGCGGCCTCGAGCACGCCACATTGGACGTCTGCCTCGGGCCTCGCCTTCGCTCGGATGACCCCTGCGTGTACAACGCCGCATAAGCGATCCTGTGTCCAGTGTTAAGCGTTACCTACCCTAGCTATCGACGCGGGCATGTCGATGACTCGAGGACGCGCGGTCGTCTTTGCTCCACCAGCCACGAACTTCTGCCAGCTCTTGCCTCCCCCCCCCCCCCCCCCCGCGCTTTGACATCGCCTGACGACGGCGCGAAGACCGCCAAGCCTGTCCCTACCCCTCGAGTGAACCATCTCTGTGACTTGGGTTCGCGGGAAAGCCGGGGTTGGGTGTCTGACATCAATTAGCACCAGGGAGCAACCCCCCTTGCGATCGCCGGGCCGAAGCTCGACTACCCATGTGCCCTTGAGGACCTTATCTAAGCGGCTCCGTCGAGAATGGGGTTAGAATGGGTGGGCTCCTGTCTCCACCGAGGTTACCAGCCTCTCTTGGAATGTGGAATTGTCCCGCGGGGATATGTGGGGGGAGGTGTAATCATGTAAAATTATTAATTTCAGTCTCTTTCGATTTCCAGTAATTTTTCAGCAAAACACTTCACCCGGCATGGTATCCACATGAACTTTGCTGGAAAATATACAGTCGGCAACCAGCTTGCACAACACATCAACTCCAGTCCTACGCAGTCTCCTGCCCCAAATCCATCCCTTTCACCTTCCTTACGTTCTCCCCCCCACCCACACACACACACACACACGTATTTCGAACCGTCTTACCTCCTCTGATCCTACTCCCGGTTCTCCCATTCCCATTACCAATTCACCTACACCTGATTCCTCAATTTCCTCACAACTTGTCACTACAGGGACACATTACAACCTTCGACCACGCATTCGAGGTAAAAATGGAGTAAATATATAGCAACTACAGTCAGATGCAGTAGAAAAATATCAGTGTAGGTACTTGCAAACGATAAACATACTGCGCCATAATATTCAATCCCTTTCAAAAAAAACTCAGTTTATTGAAGCAGCTCAATAGAGCGATTTAAATTAAATGGGTGTTCTTTGCTTTACAGAACATTGATTATTTCATAATGAACTTAGCATTTTTCAAATTCCAACATTTTACCTTGCAGGCTATTATTGTAGAGAAAAGGAATCGCATAAATGTCCCGCAAATGGGGGTTCTTGTATTTACGTTTGAAATAATATCGATATTAACTCCTTGACGGAATTAAAAGTGTATTCCGTTAATTTTTTTTAAAATTCTGTAGTACATCTTCCTACGCTAAAAATTATATTACTTTGCATCTAAAAGCCTCCAGCTAAAAGAGTAGTAGATTATATTATGTTCTTAAAAACTGGGGATAACACTAAACAAATTCACCAATCGCTCTTTTGAATCCATTGTTGAATGTGGAGATTTTAAGATTGATTTTCTGGTCGAATCTTGCGAGAAAGAGCATTTTCTCAATTTAATTAATTCCTTCAGTTTAGATATTACAATCAATGTACCTACACGGATCACACAAAATTCAAAGAAGGCAATCGATCAAATAATAATTAACAAAACCACTACTCAATATGACATTGAAACAAAAGATTTAGGATACAGTAATCACGATGCACAAATTCTTACCATTATAAGAAATGTGAACACTGACACAATAAATAATACACGTATGAGTAGATTGTTTACTAAAAGTAAAATAAAATAATTAATCAATTACTAGCTGCAAGAGTCATGGGACGCGATTTTCCAATACTGTCGATGCGGACGGTAAATATAATTTACTTTCAACGCTTTCATTCCATTTTAACACTTGCTTTCCTCTCAAAAACAAAATTAAATATTTCACGGAAAAAGAATTCTTGGATAACACAAGAAATAAAGACATATTTTAAAAACAAACGGATTATTTCTTTCATTTTTAAGCATCATAATGTATATCAAGATTCCCTCCTCTACTTTAAAAAATACAAATCATTGTTTAGAAAGGTCATACGGCAGGATAAAATCATGAAACATGATCAGGATTATTTGAACTCAAATAATACAATAAAAGCAATGTGGAATATAGTAAAAAAACGACCAAATCAACTATAAACCTTGTAGAAAATGTTTTAAAAGAACGATAGGAATGTGGACAGGCAACAGTGGCTGATCTCTTCAACAAATAGTTTTCGAGAATTGTTGTCGATCTCCCTAGGGGTCTTCAGTCACCAAATTCAGCATCAGACGTTTCCCCAAACATTTTAAACACGATGTTCGTTTTGGAAACTCCTTCCTATGATATTCTCAAAATAATCGGTAGACTAAAAAATAAATATTCTGCCGGTTTAGATGAATTTCCGAATTCATTGTTAAAGACTTGAGCGCCCGCCATTATACATCCGTTAACTCACATATTTAATGTATCCTTATGCACAGGAGATTTTCCACATGATTTTAAAACACCTAAGATTAAGCCGCTTTTCAAAAAAGGCCACAACAATAAAATTCAAAATCATCGGCCAATTTCTCTTCTGTTTTTTTTTTTTTAATATTAGACGTTTTTACGTACGAATGGAAACATTTCTTAGTAAACACAACGCGTTTTTAGATTGCCAATATGAGTTTCGAAAATCAAAATTACGGAAACAGTCATATTTTCTTTTCTTAAAGATAGCGCCCCATCCATGGACCAAAACGAAGCACCTATTAGAATATTTTTCGATCTTTCATAAGTTTTTCACGCCATTGGTCATAACATTTTACTTTCAAGATTACCTTCGTACGGAATTCGTGATATTGCTCTGGATTGGTTACGTTCGTACTTCCTTAAACAACGATCTCAAAGAGTAGAAATACATTTTTAAATTTGTTGGGACTGAATTGACGAACACGCTTCCAAGCACCGGGGGGCGTTGAGCGCTTCGCATTTGGGAGTAATCCTCTATTAATTAATCATGCTATTTACAGGACTAATCCTCTATTAACATCTGTCATTTCACGTCATGTCTCGACGCAGTCAGTTGTCAAGAGGACCGCCAAGTAGCATCTCCACGTATGTGCATTCTACTCCGCGCCCCTGCGGCCAGAATTGGGAAGGAATTAGGATAGAGATAGGGTTTAGGACATTTCACAGGGGGTTGGACTAGCATATATCTCAGTGTGTCATTGACTGATGTTAAGGTAACGAAATTTTTAGGTCTTTCAATTCAGTCAAGCCTTAAGTGGAACGCCCACTGAAATGAGTTGAACACTAAATTAAGTTCATTATGTAACGCTTTCAGAATTTTTTCAAATTCAGTCAGCCTTCATACTGTTGGTTGAGTATATTTCGCGAATGGTCATTCCCACCTGAGATACGGTATAATATTTTGGGGAAATACATCTTATAGCTCCCAGACTTTTAGACGAATAATAAGCAAAGTCCACCCACGTGATTCTTGTAAGTCTTTCCTTATTAATCTACGTATTTTACCATTACGTTGTCTCTTGATATATGAATTAGTGGTTTTGTCAAAAATGACTTGCGGGAATATATTTTCAGCAAACACCATTGTCTATAACTACAACACTCGACGTAGTCAGGTGACAGTATCAATAGCTCACTACAAAAAATTCGCTTATAATTCATGTACAT